ACTATTTCTGTTGCTGCTGCTATTTAGATTCCTGTTATTTAAAAAAAAAACTATAGATTTAGGTGTTGATACTATTTCTGTTGCTGCTGCTATTTTTACTATGGGGACCCAGTCCTGAGACTTAAGATCAGTAGTATAAGCAAGAGATAAGATGTTCTGAGGATTGCTGTCTATTACTGACTGTACCATTGCATAACAGACATCTGTACTTAAATTGAATCATTAACTTCCATGTTCCAACTTCAGACTTTTGTGGCCAGAATCTAAACTTTTCTACCTAACCTCTCAAGGAATCTCCTATTGACATTTTGGTTTATAGTTACCAGTCTTATCTGAGAGAGACAGAGAGCATGAGAGAGGGTGTCTGTGTGTGTGTATTTTCAAAGTTAACACCATACTAACATCATAACATAATATGAGGCTATTTGGGGTTCTCCAGAGAACTAACCAACAGAGTAAATAGGTGTGTGTGTGTGTGTGTGTACACACATATGCATGTGTGTATGTGTATATGTACATGTAACCATAAGGAGGTTTTATTAGATTGATATATACAATCTCAGAGCCTGAAAACTTCCATGATAGCTATCTGCAAGCTAGAGAGCTAAAGCATCCAGAAGCCTCAGAACTGGGAGCTGAAAGTGTAGCCCCCCAGTATGGGGCTGAAGGCCTGGAAACCCTTGGAAGGTTGCTAAATACAAATCTCAAAATCTGCCCTGGTAGTAGCTTACCCTGTAATCCTAGCTACTCTGGAGGCTAATATCTGAGGAAACCAGCCTAAGCAGGAAAGTCTGTGAGACTCATCTCCAATAAACTACTCAGAAAAGGCCAGAAATGGGTCTGGGAATGTGGCTTAGTGGTAGAGTGCTTGCCTAGCATGCATGAAGCCCTGGGTTCAGTTCCTCAGTACCACATAAACAGAAAGAGCTGGGAGTGGCACTCTAGTAGTAGAGTGGTAGCCTTGAACCAAAGAAGCTCAGAGACAATGCCTAGGCCCTGAGTTCAAGCCCCAGGACTGGGAAAAATAAAAAAGCCAGAAGTGATGCTGTGGCCCAAGTGGTAGAGTGCTAGCCTTGAGCAAATTAAGCTCAGAGACAGTGACCAGGTCTTAAGTACAAGCCCCCCAGGACACACACACATGCACACACGCACGCATGCACACGCACGCACGCACACACACACGCACACCCCAGAATTTGAAGACTAAAGGGCAAAGGCAGCAGCAGGATGCAGGGATCCCACTTAGGAAGGATTAGTGAAGTGGTGAGGAGAGTGTTTCCCTTTTCTTCTGCTTTTCTGTTCTATGTATCTGGGCACCCAGTTGATTGGATAATGCTTACCTAATGTTCACTCTCACTTCCATATCCTACCTGTCAACCTCCAGACATACCCAGAAGTAATGCTTTGCCAATTGTCTAGACATTCCTTAATGTAGTCACCCTAAATCAGACATTATACATATTAGTTTAATATTTTGTTTGGAGTAATTGCCTATACTTTGTCTTATCATTATGTTTTTAAAAACATGCTTTCTAGTAGCTACCTTATATTATAATTGGAATGTATAATTTATTCGAACAGTCCATTATAGTTAAAGAATTAGATTGCTTTCTATTGCTGGCTCTGAATAATTAATTTCACCTTCCCTGCTCTGGCTTCTGGATGGCAATAGATAGTGTGATGATAGAGGATGGCCTAGGCTCATTGGAACATTGAAATTGCCCCAAATGAGACAGCTGGAAATGAACTTCTTTTTTCTTTCTCTTCTGTGTTTATGTATGGGGAGTTAATGTTATATTAGCATATTTGATTGTTTATACAGTGCAGATTGAGTATCTCTTTAACTGAAGTACATGAGATAAAAACATTTCAGTTTTGGAGTATTTGCACAGTCTATACCAGTTGAACATTCCTAATCCAAAATGAAATTTTCTTTTTTTTTCCCGTCAGTCATGGGGCTGGAACTCAGGGCCCGAGCACTGTCCTTGAGCTCTTTCGCTCAAAGCTAGCACTGTACCACTTTGAGCCACTGAGCTACTTCCAGTTTTTTGGTGGTTAATTTGGAGATAAGAATCTCACAGGCTTTCCTGCTGGGGCTGGCTTTGGGCCATGAGTCTCAGATCTCAGCCTCTTGAGTAGCTATGATTATAGCTGTGAGCCAAAATGGAAAGATTTTGTATTCTAAAACTTTTTGAGTACCAATATGACACTCAAAAAAAGCTTTAGATTTTGAAGCATTTGGATCTGGGATTTACAGATTAGGCATGTTCAACAGTACTACTTCTACATTGTTTGCTAAATGTTTTTCATAGTATCAGATTGAATATTCCTGACAACTATAGATTGGATAATTTCATCCTTACAAGATAAGAAACTAGTGGTTCTTCTTGTCTATTTTTTTCTTCGTTGCTCTGAATATATCTGTGCTACATTTTCTTCCTGTCTTTTAGTCTATCTTGCAGAAAATAGGCACCTCCAACTTCTAGTTTTATGATACAACTTGAGTGACAGCATCTATTCCACTTCTAGATTCCTAAGATTGATTCTAGCTGTCCCAGTATGAGTTAGGGGGTTTTGTTGGTGATGCTGGTGGGATTTTATTGTTGTTGTTGTCTTTTGAGCTAATGTTTGAATTCAGGGTCTCATAGTTGTTAGATAGGTGCTTGTTATTTTTGAAATAAGAGTCCTGCTTCCTGTCCAGGTGCTCATGTAGGCTGCTGTCTGCCTATTTTAGGCTTTCATCATTGCTGGTATGAGAGATGTGCATCATCCTATCCATCTTCCCTCTGTAGTGATGGAGGGAATTTTTCTGATAGGGCTATCCAAGAACCAACTTTAGTATTTATTATGCTATTGCAGGTCTAAGAGTTGTCTTTGGGAATGACTAGGTTACATATGCAATTATTATTATTGTTCTCCACTTTGCCTGTGACTGATCTTTCTAGAGGTGCTGCTATTACTCTCTTTTGCCCAACTGGTAAGATGCCCTGGACAGTGTGGGCTTGCGTAGGTCTGTGGGGTGGGTATTATTTTTGTTTTCTGTTTTCGGTACTAGGGATGAAACCCATGGCCCCAGGCATGTTAGGCAAGCACTCTACCACTGAGACACTTTCCTAGCCCATGGGCTGGGATGTAATAACTAAGGTGACCAATAAGAGTAAGACGCTAGGCTATGGATACAGTGTTTTTCCTCTAGTTTCCAGGGTACACAAAACTCAAAGGCACTAACACTTCCTTTCTGTCTGCTCAGGGAGATGGTACAGGAGTTGCCAGTATTTACCGGGGGCCATTTGCAGATGAAAATTTCAAACTTAGACACTCTGCTCCAGGCCTACTTTCTATGGTAAGTGAGCTGTAATCAAGATTTGGGGTTAGATTAATAGCCAACTGCTTTCTAGCCCCTTGTTGAAGTCCACTCCTTTTCTGTTGAATGGGAGCAAATGCTTTTCTCCTCTTAGCTCTGGCCTTATCTCTTCCACTCCCACCTTCTTAACCTGTTACGTTGTTGGCAGGGTCTGCTAGCAGGCTGGGGAATCAAGTGATTTTTGATATGTGTCTGTTACCTTTATTTGTGCTGGAACATGTGGCTGGGCATGCCCAGTTGTGCTTTCAAGATTTGGTGTTCACCTGCTCATTCTCCTGCTTAGCCTGAGTCACTCATACCAGCCTGTTACCCACACTGCTTGTTGACACCTCTCCTGCTCTTACTCTATTGGTTTTGCTCACCACACCTATTCCCATGTCCTGGAGCCCTTCCCCATATGTATGCTTCCCACTTATACGTCTGAGTCAACCTCATAGCCCCTGTCTTCCTCACTTATACTCCCTTATCAAATGCACCTTTGCTTACTTTCCTTCCTATGCTTCTCACTCTCATTCCTTCTTTCCCTTATTCCCACCCCTTGCCTCTCTGCCTCCCACCCCTACTACCAATTTCTTTTGATCAGTGCCCTAATTCTCACTCCCCCAGTCCCAAGATGTATATGCACATTCTCTTGCTGTTCTGTTCACCCATGCTTTACTCATCTCCTCAGGTATTTCCACTCTGACAATATCTACAAAGGGAAGAACTTACACACAATGACTAGTCCAGTGTGATGTAATCTGTGCCACCAATGTATCTTAATACATTAGGTGAAGGCATCTAAGTGTACCTAAAAAGATCATGACCCAGATGAATAAGGAACATGGCTGCTAAGGGGTAGGAGAAACCTACCCAGATAGGAGGAAAGCAAGTTCTTTTGTTTTTTTTTTTGTCGGTCGTGAGACTTGAATTCTGGGCCCGAGTGCTGTCCCTCAGCTCTTCAGCTCAAGGCGAGCGCTCTATCACTTGAGCTACAGTGCCACTTCTGGTTTTCTGGTGGTTTATTGGAGATAAGAGTCTCACGGACTTTCCTACCCGGGCTGGCTTTGAACCGCAATCCTCAGATCTCAGCCTCTTGAGTAGCTAGGATTACAGGCGTGAGCCACCAGCACCTGGCTAGCAAGTTCTTAAAGAAACTTTGTGCCAGGTGACGTAGGAAGAAAGAGCATTACAGGTCCAACATATAGATTCTACATGGTTTTGTGACCATGACATAGCAGGTAGTTTATTCAAGGAATTCAAAAGTAATGAGAATATAGGCTGCAACAAGGACAAATGGGCCTAGCTCCTAAAGTGCCAGAAAAAGTATGAAGTAGGCCTTCTTTCATAGGTTTTGGAAGCCTTTTTCTACTTTTTCTGAGCAGAGTTGATCAGTGTTACGTTTTTGGATAAAAACCTTGGCTGTGGCATGAGTACTGCTGGGGATGGAAAGACCAAGGGAAGGAAGCCATTTAGGAGGCTGCCCTAATAAACTGGGTGAGACTAGTATAGCACACAGTTTGCAAACCCTCTTTTAGGAAAGTCACCTGGGCAAGAACAAATGTGCAGAAGTAGCTTAGGTATGCTCTTCAACTTTTTGTTTATGAGGATTAGAACCCTTCTTTGTGCATGCCCTGTGCATGTGTTGGGAAGCTCTTCTCTGCCCACTTTAGGCCAGCCCTAGCTAAGTTGTACTGTCACATACATAGCCTAGTTGTGAGTTTTTGTGTTTTTTTTTTTTTTTTTGGTCAGTTGTGGGGCTTGAACTCTGGGCTTGGGCGCTGTCCCTGCACTCTTCAGCTCAAGGCGAGCGCTCTATCGCTTAGCCACAGTACCACTTCCAGTTTTCTGGTGGTTAATTGGAGGTAAGAGTCTCACAGACTTTTCTGCCCGGGCTGGCTTTGAACCATGATCCTCAGATCTCAGCCTCCTGAGTAACTAGGATTATAGGTGTGAGCTACCAGCTCCCAGCTTTACATGTGATATTCTTGAATACATGTATACACACGAAAAATAGCCTCACTTTACTCCCTTCATTTTAAAAAACCAATACCCTTGTCTTACATTGGAGTTTTGAAAGTATATTATATTGAAAGTATATTATAAAAGTATATTATAAAAAAGTTTATTATAAAAAGTATATTATAAAATATATATAATAAAAAGTATATTATAAAAAATAAAAAGTATATTATAAAATTCCTTGTTTTAAAGATCACCCCCTAAACATGGCTTTAATGTGCTTGTATATTTCATATACATTTCTTTCCTTCACAGTTGAAATCTAAAGCTAATTTTTCTTTCTCTTTATTTTTCTTATTATTTTTATTTTTCTCCCTCCCTCCCTTTCTTTCTCTTTCTCCCTCCCTCTCTCCCTCCCTCCCTCCCTCCCTGTCTGTCTGTCTGTCTGTCTGTCTGTCTTGGGGCTTGAACTAAAGGCCTGGGCACTGTTCCTGATCTTTTTGCTCAAGGCTAGCACTCTATCACTTAAGCCACAGCACCACTTCCAGATTTTTCTGTTTATGTGGTACTATGGAATTGAATGTACCCAGGGTTTCATGCATGCTAGGCAAGTGCTCTACCACTAAGCCACATTCCCAGCCCAGTAGCCTATTCTTTTATAACCCATTATTAAATATAATAATGTAAAAATAATTTCAAGGAAAGAATAGGAAAAGATGTAACTAAAGAGTCTCAGATTCTCAGTTTAAACTTTTTACTGGAATGTTTGGCAATAAAAGATTTGGGAAATAGCTATAAAAAAGAATACTCACACACCAGACATAAATTGCAGGTAGTCTTTTTTTTTGTCCTAGCTTAGCACTAGCATAGCAACTTCCTGCTTCTTGTTACTATTTTTATAATACAGTACAAAGCCATTTAGACACAACAGTTTATTGCATAAGCAACAGGTCTTTTCCTTGCTAATTTGTAACTACAATCCAGTTGTAACTAGTTTGCAACTTACTACACCAAGTAATATCACATAAACAATCAGTCTATTATAAAAACTCACACTGTAGGAGATTTACACATTTGTTAAAGGGTAGAGCTTGTGTGTTCTTTCCTTTCTATCCTTGTGTCCTAAATTAGGCCCTGATTCACAATAAGTTGCTGAATAGAAGCATGGAGATGACAAGACTACAGGCTTTTGGGGGAATCTTGCTCTTCAGATAATATGGCCAGGAAAACTTACTGCAAGTTTGTTTGGTTTCTGTCAGGCAAACAGTGGTCCCAGTACAAATGGCTGTCAGTTCTTCATCACCTGCTCTAAATGTGATTGGCTGGATGGGAAGCATGTGGTGTTTGGTAAGTCCTACTCCTTTCTTATTTTCCAGGCCCCATTGTCCCCAGCCCCTAGGTTGGGGTTCCCAAAAGCTCTAGTCTCCACACTGATAGAACTGCTCTTAGCAGTTGTAGGGAAGATGGAAGTGGTCAGAAGGAAGAGAAGATGTATGGTTAGAAACCTAGCAGGAAGGACAAGGGATTATCTGATGTAGTTTGTAACCACTTGGGCAATATGCTTTCTAGGAGGAAACTCAAATGCTAGGACAAAAGTAATGCCAGAGGCAGCATTGGTGCCGCAAAACTTTGGACTTGCTCAGACCTGAGCTTCAGCCCTTACTTACACTGCTTATTGTCTGTGACCTTTCACTCCATTTCACCTTACTGGATCTTAAAGCCCTGAAGTTAGTAAGAGGATCTAATGTGATGATAGCTAAAAATGGGCACTGGGAGCTACAAAGTGCTGTATATGTGAGAATAAAGTCTAGCTCATATTCTTCCTACAGGAAAAATCATTGATGGACTTCTAGTGATGAGAAAGATTGAAGTAAGTCATGCTTGGGTATCTTCTTTCTCAGCCTTTGTAGCCTGGTACAGTCTGCTCTTGAGCAGGCAGTTAGAGAAGAATGAATGGACTCACTACTGTCCCTGCCTCGGTATACATACCTTCTTAGGAAGCAGAGGAGAGGACACATATCTTTTTTAAGTTTTCTTGGCCCCATAAGTTAACCTCCCCTGAGGTTTAGCCTCTGAAGACACCATAACCTACTTGGTGTTGCAGTCAAAATCCTTCATGATCTGTTCCCTTCTTGCCTCTCTATGAGGCTCCTTCTGCTGTAAGTGCCTCTTCTGTTCCAATCATATCAGGCTAACAGGTCTTCCCTAAATATACCATACATATCCCTCCATGCTTGCTATTCTTTCCTGTCCTGAGCCTTTGCTTGGGCTGTTCTTGGGGAAGGCTTTCTTTTCTCCTGGTGACATCCTATTCATCTAAAAGTTTCCTTCTCTGTGAATTCTTCTCCTAACCTCTTTGAGAATCATTTTAGTTATTCTACTTGCCCCTTGTATACCTCTCTCTTAACTAATGCAACGCAAGGTTGATATTTTCTCAGTATATTACATGTTCTCCTTGGTGTATTGTTTGCTTTACCTGCCAGCTAGGACATGTACTTTCTGAATCTTGGGTCCTAAACGTAGAGGCATCACAAAGATTCAGTGAGAGTGTAAGCAAGCATCTGAGTATGTGAATCTTCCCTGTGCTTGCTTGCCTTGTGTGTATGTCTCTGTGTGTATTTACTTGTGTAGGCTTGTGCACTTATAAGAATTGAACCCAGGGATTTGCACACACTAGGCAAATGCTGTACTACTGTATTTTCTTTTCTAGAATGTTCCCACAGGCCCCAACAATAAGCCCAAGTTGCCTGTGGTAATCTCACAGTGTGGGGAGATGTAGTCCTGATGAAGACTGATTCAGGTAAGTGTGCCTTCTTCCTACTGGCTAGCAGAATGCATCCTGGTCTACTGGAAAGAACTTTAGACTTGAAGATACCGGGTTGAACCCATTTTCTCTGTATGTGAACTTAAAGAAGTCCCTCCTTTCTCTGAACCCGTTTTCATTCTCTCAAGATGAAAATACTTATTTCTTAGGGTCATTTTAATGACTAAAATGGGAAGAGTTACTTTTCTATTACTTTTCAGTGTACAGAGTATCAACATGAAAACCACGTAGGTAGTTTCTAACAGCACTGTTAAATTATAGTTCTGTTCAACACTACTACTAGAAGGACCTGGCTTCAGCCCTGGGAGACTCTGGACAACCAGAATACACATCTGTCCTAAAGGTTCTCAGAACTGACATTGCACCTGGAAAGGTGGCTCAGTGGTAGATTGCTTGCCTTGCATGCATGAGGCCCTGAATTCGATTTCTCAGCACCACATAAGCAGAAAAAGCCGGAAGTGGCGCTATGGCTCAAGTGGTAGAGCACTAGCCTTGAGCTGAAGAGCTGAGGAACAGTGCCCAGGTCCAAAGCCCAGAGTTCAGGTACCATGACTGGCAAAAAAAAAAGAACTGACACTGCAGTTCCAAGCCCTGACTTTTTTTTTTTTTAAGGTATTTTATTAAAATACATGAGGGGCTGGGAAGGTAGCTCAGTGGTAGAGTGCTTGCCTTGCATGCATGAGGCCCTGGGTTTGATTCCTCAGTACCACATAAGCAGAAAAAGCCAGAAGTGGCACTGTGGCTCAAGTGGTAGAGTGCTAGCCTTGAGCTGAAGAGCTGAGGGACAGTGCCCAGGCCCAGAATTCAGGCCCTATGATCGAATAAAATAAATAAATAAAATACATGAATTTTATAGGGGGAGTTTCATCGTGACATTTCCATACATACTTACAATGTATGCGTCCAGATCTACTTCACCTCTCTTCATCTAATACCTTCCCCTCTTCTTCAAGCAATCTCAATAGATTTCATTGTTCTGTGTTCACATCTGCAATATGAAATACCCATTTTCACCCTCTCTCAGCTTAGCTCCTGCCCACTGGTACCTACTTCCCACATAGCCTGTTTTACTTTCCTGTCATTGTTTTTCAGCATATATTAAAGAGGTTTTGCCATGTAACTCACATGAACATTTATTTTAATTTAATCAGATTAACTTTTTTTATTGTGATTATGATTTTATTTCAACAGCTTTCTGAATATTGAATTGTTATTCTTTTCCCAAAATACTACTCTAGTACTCTTTTGTATTTTTATTTATTTTTTGTCAGTCCTGGGGCTTGAACTCTGGGCTTGGGCACTGTCCCTGCGCTCTTCAGCTCAAAGTTAGTGCGCTACCGCTTGAGCCACATCACCACTTCTTTTTTATTTTTTTGACTGTTATCATTAGGTACAAAGGAGTTGTGCAAAGGAGTTTCCACTTAACAAAGCAGTTTATGAATACAATATATCTTGGTCAATGTCACTCCTTTCTCACCCATCCCTCCGCTACCCACCTCTTCCCTCAATCTTCTTAATTTTTTTAGGATATGCATTGGATTTCCCCCCTCTTCTCCTCGTCAGTAAACTGTTATTTTTCTTGCCTGAATCTTACTTTTTTATTTATTTATTTTTATTTTTTATTGTGAAAATACCATACAGAGGGGTTACAATTACATGGGCAAGGTAACGAGTGCATTTGCAGATAAACTTTTATTACTCTCTTTCCTGGTATCCCCACATACCCTATTGTTCAACAGCTTTCAGTGAGTTTCCTGTGCCATTTTTCTTGCATAGATATAATGTATTTTGATAGTAATTGTTTTCTACCATCTTCTACCTCCTCCTTTCCCTTTATAGGTTATATTACATATAAAGTCTAAATTCCACAAATGAGCAAAAAGATACAATAGTTGCAGGTCCTGACTTTAATTTGACAGACTCCTAGGTTCACATTTTACATTGCTAAACCTGCACAGACTTTCTTCCTATCTATAACTTGACATTGCCTGCTTTGTGCTAGACAGCATGTTAGCAAAAAATTGAAAGGTGTGGCTACCTTTCAGGAGCTCAGGAAATAAAACATACTATCTTGAGTAACATTGCTCAGTGTTGAGAGAGTAAAAAAGAGAATTGATCACTTGCACATATATGAACGTATGTGAGGGATGGTGTTTTGTGTTTCTTTTTGATTGTCTTAAAGCTATAGAAAAGTTAGAAAAATTCTGCATTAAACACCCATTTTTTAATTTAATTTTATTTTATTTTGTAGGTCATGGGCCTGAACTCTGGGCCTGGGTGCTGTCCTTGAGCATTCTACCACTTGAGCCACAGTGCCACTTCTGGTTTATTCTGCTTGTGGTGCTGAGGAATCGAACCAAGGGCCTCATGCATTCAAGGCAAGCACTCTACCACTGAGCCATCTTCCCAGCCCTTAAATACCCATTTATTTGTATAATATTTTTGTTCATTTTATCTTTGTTTTTTTTTTTTGGTGGGGGGGGGTCCCGTTGTGGGGCCTGAACTCTGGGCCTAGGTGGTGTCCCTCAGCTCTTCAGCTCAAGGCTAGCGCTCTACCACTTGAGCCACAGCGCCACTTCCGGCTTTTTTTCTTTTTGCTTATGTGGTGCCACCTTCCCAGCCCCTGTTCATTTTATCTT